GCACGTTTTCACCCGAAACGAGGTGGGAAGTCTCGTGGACTGCGTCAACATGAGCATCGTATAAAAGCCAAACGGCTGTAGTACAACGAGATTCATCCGTGCTCATCTGGTGAGATCGACCAACGAATCTCTTCTTCATGCACCTTCTTTAACAATGTTATTTCAAGAGATTAATCAAAAACCCAGTTTCTCTTCGTATCTACAAAGAAACACTCCCCGAGGTACAGTCGGTTGAATCGAATTATTCTTAAACGGTTCGTCATTCTTAAGCTAAAAAACAACAGATTCGGACAGCATAAAAAGCACCATATAGACCAGAGATAGATTACACACTTCTGCCTCCTTGTCTCGCAGCCTTCGCTCCAGCTCGTCAGTTCGCTTAATTGCCTCTTGGCGTTCAACTTCCAGGCCGGCAAGACGGCCACGGAGTTCCGCCACGTCCCTGGCGGCCCGCTCAGACGCCAGTTCAGCCTGTTGTCGAACTGCTTCCAGGCCGCGTCGTGCCTCGGCCAGTTCGCCCTGTCCAACGCCCAACTGGTCGTGGGCCGCTTGACGAGCTGCCTCGGCAGCTTGTTGACTCGCGTTGGAGGTGGCCATCAACTCTGTCTGCCGGGACACCAGCTCTTCGAGGCTGGAAATCTGGACGTTCCGACAAGTGGAGGGGTAACATGGAAGGAGACTTTGTTTAGAAACCCACAAGTGAAGCTGAAGTGATGGTGTTGGTAGTAGGTCTGACAATTGCAAGCAATTGGAATAACAATGGATGTATGACTGAAAGTTGAATTTCACACAACCATGTGAGGATAGCGTCCCAGAATGGCGTTAAATTTTTTCTCAGATTTGCCCCCAAAGCAATACCTATCCAGAGTGGACTGCCGTTTCGACTTCACCCTCGAATTCGTCAGCTCCAGCTAGGGAATACGGAAAGGATTGGTGAGCCCACTTCCATTTCGAGTGAAGTGTGTGTGATTGAGAGATTCACAGATCTACTGCGCCAGAGAACGACAGTTAATTCCTCTTGGCCAGCTGTCGGTTGGCTTTGCTAAAAAATACTTGATAACACTGTCCCCGAGGCAATTCCAAACCTTCACAGTGAACAAGTGCTGCCCAATAAAGTGGACCATCAAGGAAAACTGCCATTGTTACATTGTTGAAGGGACTTTCATTTCGTATGAAAATGCGTGATTCTGAGAATCGTTTACCGAAAAGCGAATAATTCTCGTTATTCTGTAGCATGAAGGCTTTAGTACGACGTTCAAGCTGACGCAATCTATGAGGCCTCCTACCTCGTTTCGGAATAAAGTAAGCTAAGCTTTCGTTCATCATAGAATGGACATCAGCAGAGCTGTAACTGATTCTAGTAAAAGTCTCAAGTTCATTCTAGGACAATAAGACTGTTCGACACTACTTCACGTCCTATGTATGCTTATAACTAAAAACGAAAGTAAAGAGACATAGATAGATATAGAATGATTTGGCTATTTCTCTTTGTGTGCATATGTGTGTGTATCAATGTTTATACGCAATACCGGTCCTAAATCAGTGATAACAAAACCCCAACGTCAGACTCTGACTGTATAAGTCCTTAAACAACTCTGGCTGAGCTAATGAGGTGTAAGATTTTAAGCTTGTAATTCAGGTTACGGAAACCCCCGCCATAACCCTTCAGTTTAGGGTTATTAAGCTGTGATGACACAAGGAAAAACATTACTGGGATTACGTATGCTAGTACATCTGGTCTGTTTGATGAGCTTAATCTACATGTTGGACGAGTGTGAGTGAAGTTAGAACCATCACTGGGCTGATGGACTGAGTCGCCTTTTTGATTGCGGATCAACGCCCTATCTTTCCTTAAGTCTATCAATCATGCAAAAATAGTTCTTACTCAACTTTCTACCACTGTTCCTGGCATTAAATATATTTCTTAATCTATTACTTGCCTATCATATCCTCCTTTTAACAGCAGGCGTATCATAATCAACAAACTTACTCGTTTGAGGCCATTCTATCTCATGCCCAGTCTCTGAAATGTGTTCGGTCACTTTTGACCGTTGGACCGAGCTGCCGTTTCTCTCATCTTTGGCGAATAGGTTGACCACAGGGTCACATAATCTTATGGCAGCTGCATCTCGGTAATGGGTCATATTTCTCTTTAAAGATGGCATACCGAAAGAAAGTGAGAGTTTCTTTGAACACTTTTTACTCCCCCCCTCTTTCTCACTAGTTCGCCAGACATGAGAAAAGGTCTCAGCTTGTCTATCTTTGATTAACCAGTGTATGCTTGAAATGTTTTTCCTCAGTAAAGAGATACAATTAATAAGAAAGCACAAAGGATGATTTCGTAACCTTATTAACAAGTTTGCTTACAGACTTACGAAATCTCGGTCAAGCTTTCCTTTGGGCCATTAAGTCTTAATGATCTGAGTGTGACGCTAGAATTTTGTAATCACTCTGATTTAGGGCTGGTATTGTGTATAGAAGTTAGCATACACACACAGACGCATAAACAGGCTCAAGCAAGAATACTATGACCAATATGAAAGAGAAATAGACAAATATTTCCATATCTATCTATCTATATATATATATACACTTTAGTTTTTAGTAATGAATATAGATAAGACGTAAAATAGTGCCGGACAATCTGCGTGACCTAGTGGGAACTTGAGACTTTTACCAGAACGAGTTCCAACTCTGGTGATGTCCATTATATGATGAACGAAAGCTTTGCCCGGTTTATCCTGAAACGAGGGAGAATGTCTCGTGGACAGCGTTAACCTCCAGAATACCGAAGATCGGTCGTCGTCTTTCAGTGAGACCAGCCGACAAATCTCTTTATCATTCATTATCATACGAAATGAGTTTCCCAACAATGTTACATTATGAAATTTATCTTAACCCAGTTATTCTACGTATCTTATAATTCTTACAACCATATTCGAATAACCGAATCAAGAAAACCCACGGGCTTACCTATGAAGCCTTATACATTCCCTAATTTTATGGATTTTTATTAGGTTTTAGGTGATTTGGTTTGTCTAAGTCATATGTCAATCTATCAAATTTGTGTGTGTATCTGTATGCTATATGAAATTATATGGAACTGAGGCCTAATCATATGATTATGGAATGAGTCAACTGTTAGTCTTTCATCATATTAAACGAAATAGGGTGAATACAGCTTTTATACAGGTGTAAATAGTTCACCGAATGC